CTTGCCAAGCAGAGACGCCATTGCTTGGATTTCAACACTTAGCTTTTCTGGACCAGAAATATCGCTTAAAATGGCCAAAAACATAAATAATCCCAACAGACAGTTTCTGGATCATACCAAGCAAAATAAATCAAAGTTTTCCATAAATCAGGTATTGTGATGGTTTTCACACCAAAATTCAAGTAATACACAGTTTTGTCAAGCGAAGAATATACTAATATTCAAAGTTATAAAACCTCCTCACACTAAACCTTTGTTCGTCCTCAAACAAACTCAATTGTATGAATAAAGAGTTAACCCGTTCAAGGCAGTCAAGTATTTCCTAAGATCAGTGCCATGGTTGTGAATAAAGTGAATCTCGAGTAGAAACAATTGATCCTTAAGCATTCAAAACTTTTCGTTGGATTTAACATGAACGGAGTTGTCCAGGCATAATCAACTTTGCTCACTCAGTGGGGACTATTTTTTTTTTAAATAAGGGAACCTTCAGCCGAAGGGTGTAGAAAATAATTTTTTTTTTGTTTCCTTCATTATATTTCATGACGGGCCACAAGTTTCAAAAAACTTTGTGTCTGCTTGTGACCTTATTTGATTTTCACGTACCTAGGCCTTTTCAGTCCCCTTTAATAATACAGGTCCTCATCGCTTCACTTACATCGTCTCTCAAACCATATTTAAGAACTTCCCTTTTTAGTGTTATTTCATTTGAGCGAAGTCGATAGATAAAAGTTCATTTTTCTTACTGAGTATGCAAAGATTGAAACAAAGTGGGCACTAACCTTTACAAGATATATCAACGGGTACTTGGTTTAACTCAACATTCACATTATTGAATAAGGTAAAGGAAAAATTACTAAGTTCCGCGCTCGCAAGTTGTCTAACCCTACTCTAAAATATATCATAAGACTAATGCAACAATGTATTAAAAGGATTTCAGGTACTAACACATGCTTGAAATTATGATAGGCATACAGTATTGAAAAATTCAACTTGTTACCAAAAAAAAATCTGTTGTGTCATTGATCATCAGAAATTTCTGTACAAGCCTTGTTATTCCCCCAAAAAAATATGTACATGAAAGGGAAAGGATCCTAATTCATTTATCTTTGGGGCCTGCGGATCCACGTACTGTCTGAGAAGATTTCTTGTTCTACTGCTGCACCAGCTCCTCAATTCGCTACAAACTCTTTGTTGTATCAAGTTGTTGTTCCATGATTATTGCATTATGTTGGGTGATGGCTGTGAGGGCCTTGAGAATATTGTTTTGACTCGCACCCATGGTTGCAGCTTGAGTTTCCAGAATGCTATTGCGCAATTCTAGTGGACAGTTATTGATCTTCAAGCAGCCAGAGTCTCACCAAACTTTCGACATGAGAGTCGATCAATTTTTGCAACAAGAGGTATTGGCTAAGCATCACTTCGTCAAGCTCATCCGGTCATTTTCCAATTGATTCAAATGCCACGCGAAGGGCAAAAGTGCCTGCCTCAGCGAGCGCTGGTGACTGTTGCTCAAACTCAGCGGAGCTGATGTCAACTGGCCCTGGCTCATTCTCGGAATTAGGTGCTGGTTTTGGAGTAACGTCTCTAAGTGTTGGGAAATGGTGGATCGACAAGTCTGCTTTGAACACCTTAAATAGGGCCAACTTCTCTTGCAGCGCAGTTAACTTACATTAATAACAGCTCACTGACAGTGATATAAATACTTGAGCAGAAAAGCATAAATGATCCAAGTATTTGTTAACCTAGTTCGGCTATAACAACCTACATCTGGGGGGATCCCAATCCAGGAGATACTCCACTATAATCAATACTGAAAATAGTACATAACAACCTTAAATTCACTTAACCCATATCCTCCATAAAGTCTTACCTTGCAATCAATGCACAGGTACTGGAAGTCACAAACGCGTACTGACACCAGTGTATACAACAAGCCTAGAGTAATGCAGCCAACAAGCTGGTTGTCATCTCATTTGGATTCTGAGAACTCCTCCCTCCGGCAACTTCTCCGGTGGGTTTTGTGTATCAAACACAGGTGAAAATCTGACATTCCTTTTACTATCCCCATTTTATCAAATTTGTCTTGTATGGATACATGCACATATGAGACAAAATGGACAAGACAATATAAATAAAAAGTTGTTGCAAGTGAGAGTCTGTCTGCAGTCTGTGTTAGTTTGCAGTAGCAGAAAGTAACTTGCTATGTTTGGTATCTAGGGACAGCGGCTGTGCAGAATGTCATTTGTACATATGCCAAAAGTGGAAGTAAGGAGATTTTTCCATTTAACATTCTCCCCCTTTTTGGCATATGAGACCACGCACACAATGTGCAGGAGAAAAACTCCCGCACTCAGCAATAACTTCAATCAACAAAATATAAGTCAAGTTCATATCGCGACTACAGGCCGATAACAACAAACAAAAGCTACATGCAGCCTTGACATGGTTATAACAGCAACAAAAGAACAACCATCAGGCCTAGCCAAAAAGCAATCAGCAAAAACAGCTAACACCAGCAGACAACAACAACAGATAACATCAAAGTAACAACAGAAAACATACTCCACTCCCCCTTACTTGCATATCTCTCCCCCTTGCGTGGAGAAGATGCCAAAACACACTGCAGCATAATCAGGAGGACTCCAGCTCCTCTTCACCAGCATCGACGGCAGTCAAATCGTGATGAATGAGGTTGATGGCACGAGTGAGCATGCGACGATGTTCATCTAACATTTTTTTATGGCAAGTTGCTCTTTCACCACGTCACGCAGAAGTTTGCGGGCTTCAAAAAGCTGACTCGCCAAGTCCATCGGGGTCGGTTCTTGAAAATCATTATGCAAACCATCCGGGTTTGATTTCGGGGAAAAAAAGGAGAGTAAATAATTTCTTCATCGGGTTTGGGATGGATGTTGTGATGTGATAGCAGCAGGGTAATCAGAGCTGGGTACGGCAGTTTGCGGATGTCTTTCTTGAGGTTCCCACGAGCAAACTTGACCATCTTTGAAACCACCAGAAAGACAAGATTCAAATGGTTAGCAAATTTATCAATGGCAAGAATGAGATTACCCATCTCGGTGCCAATGGAGGAACCATTTGAAGTGGGGAACACGTTGTAACCACAAAGGTGAAACAGACACTAAAACTTTATGGTAAGTTCCTTGGCTTGCAAACCTTGTCTCCCAAAGTCAGTGGCTTTGCGGCCAGACACCATGAGGGCTACATATCAATTTGATTATGTCACAAGTTCAGAGGGCAATTGTTCAGTAGGCAACCGTAACAACCTGTTGATCAGATATGGGCTCAGCTCGATAAATTGTCCACGGATGTATGTCTTGTGAAACCATTGTGAACCTTCCACCAAAACAGTTGTAGGCAAGTTAGCATAAAATTCTTGAACAAGTTTGGGACAATACCTCGTCAAGCTAACGGCCTAATGAAAAAGTCCCTTTTAACGTACTCCGTGAATCCAACATCGATGTGTTGGGGACTATTGAAAATCACTTTACCGATAAAGCTGTGCAGGTCCAAATCGTCGTATTCATACTGTTCTGCCTCATCATCAAAGTGGGTTTCGTCCATAGCACGTTCTGGAGAAGGTGTCCGAGGAACATCACTATGTTTGCAAGACTTCTTTCGCTTAAGTTTTTCTCTCAGCTTCTGCAGAGTCTTCTTCCGCTTCTTCTTCGGAGGTCGTGATGACTCCGGAATATCAACAGCAACTTGTCGTTTGGTCAGGGGGGACTGTTTGAACACTGTTATCATCAATATCAGACGATGATTTCCCTTGTCGAGGGGATTCATGAACCACAACATTTGTATGCGTAGGGACCTCTGTTTCAGTCTCAACAGGTCCTTCAGCAACTTCAGTTTGAGCTTTAGCAGCACGATCGAGTTTTCCAACATCGTTATTAAAGGATGATTGATTTGCCTTAGCATCCATACCTTGTTTTGTAATAGCATGAGATTCAGAAGGAGGAACTGCTTCTCCTGTTAGGGCAATAGTCTCCACCATCTCAGTTTCCTTAGAATGCAAAACTTCTTCTCGTTCGGTCTGTTGAGGGATGAGTGCAGTAGCAGCAGTCTCAGCATCCATAGCACCATCACTACCAACAACAGTTTGTTTAGCAGGGTCCGCAACAGCATCATCGTCATTCTCAGTTGCAGCCACCCCTTCGGTTTGTTGTTCTGTTCCAGGAATTTCTGAAGTACCAAATGTAACTTCCAGAGAAGGTTGTTTTTCCGCAGTAGCATTAACATCAGCCTGTTTTTTCAACTGTTCTTCATTCACGGTAGCCACCATTGTTATCGGATCCACAAAAGTAACTGGACCAGACAAATCACCAAAATCTGAAACAGGACTGATATAACCAAGTCGTCCTGATTGTGCACTTCCCTTGCCATGTCCACGCCTTCCAACTCCGCGAGATTCTCCACCGAAACGTGTTCGAGCCATCCACAACAATTTTGTTCAAACACAAGGGACTTCCAAATATGTGAATGGTGAGAGATACACCGTCATTCCTACACCAGATATATACGGGCGATAGAGAGTAGAAGGGAAGTTACAACTTCCAATTCAAAATTTGAATTTTTTACCAATTCCCAAAAACCATCGTACTGAATTAAAGTCATCATGCCCCTTATGCCTTGGGCGACACACGATGCTACAATGGCCGGGATGTTTTTATTTGGACATCTTGTTTGGGCTACTGGATTTATGTTTTTAATCTCCTGGCGTGGATATTGGCAGGAATTAATTGAAACTTTAGCATGGCTTCATGAATGCACACCATTGGCCCGTAATTACAGCTTTCTGTAACTCTGCATTGACAACTCGCCGTCAAATCAAAGCTTCTCACATCTAATCAACTTCCCCATAATATTCCCTTTTTGAATTTTTCAGAATATCTATTTTCCCTCTTATTTTTCATCTCCAATTTTTTCATAATTTACCAATAATCAGCAACATATTGGAGACATAATGCATCATGTATGCAAGATTAGGAAGGGTATGAACACATACCCAGATCACGGCGAAGTGTTTCAAACCGATCACCATCGAGCGCCTTTGTGAGAATATCAGCCTTTTGATCCTTAGTCTCAACGTACTCCAGCCTGCACACATTCGACTCCACCAATTCACGAATAAAATGGTATCAGATATCGATGTGTTTGGTCCTTCCATGTTGTACGTGATTTTTGGATATGTTGATAGCACTAGAATTATCACACAGTAATATGAATGAATCACAATCAATTCCATAATCCGCAAGCATTTGACAAATCCAAAGAAGTTGTGCACAAAAGCTTCCTGCAACAATATATTCTGCCTCAGCTGTAGATAGGGCAATCAAATTCTGCTTTTTGGAACTTCAGCTAATGAGGTTATCACCAAGATAAAAACAACCATCCGTTGTGCTTTTACGATCGTCACAACATCCTGCCCAGTCAGAGTCAGTGAAACCAATAAGGTTGAGACAGGACCTGTTAGAGTACCATAACCCCAACTCAGCCGTTCCATGAACATAGTGAATTATCCTCTTTGCGGCTTTAAGATATGATTCCTTTGGAGCAGCTTGAAACCTTGCATATACTCCAACACTAAACAAGATATCAGGCCTGCTGGCAGTCAAGTAAAGCAAACTACCTATGATACTCCTGTACAACTTTTGATCCACATCTTTTCTCGATTCATCCGTCGACAATTTCTCTTGTTGTCCTAATGGCATTCTGACAGCCTTAGAACTACTCAGACCAAACTTATTGATCATATTTTGAGCATACTTGGTCTGATTCAGGAAGATACCATCAACACACTGTTTAACTTGCAGACCTAAGAAATAAGTAAGTTCACCAATCATACTCATTTTGAACTCGGAGTCCATGAACTTCACAAACTCTTTTCTCATCAACTTGGAGGTGGAACCAAATACAATGTCATCGACATAGATTTGAGAAAACATCAGTTCCTTTCCTTTGCGCTTGATAAACAATGTCTTGTCACTGGATCCGCGAACATAATTCTTTTTAAGCAAGAAGTTCGATAACCTCTCATACCAAGCCCTCGGTGCTTGTTTTAAACCATACAAAGCCTTCTTCAATCAAAACACATGATCAGGATGGAAAGGATCTTGAAATCCCTTAGGCTGTTCAATATAGATCTCCTCTTTAATCCATCCATTGAGAAAAGTTTTTTCACGTCCATCTGAAAAAGAGTGAATCCGAGTGAAAACGAAATAGATATCAGCAATCTTACAGCTTCGATACGGGCAACCAGGGCAAAGGTTTCGTCATAGTCGATTCTTCAATCTGAGTGTATCCTTGGGAAACTAATCTGGCCTTGTTTCGAGTAATATTGCCACACTCATCAGACTTTTTCTTGAAGATCCATTTGGTACCAATCACGTTGCAGTCACCAAGTCTCTGCACCAACATCCATACTCCATTTCTCTCAAACTGGTTTAATTCATCTTGCATTGCACTCAACCAGTATTCATCCTTCAACGCCTCATCAATATTTCTGGGTTCAAAAGTTGATACAAAACAATTCATTCCAGATAGGTTTTTGAAATCAATCTGTTTACCTCGAGTGACTCTGCCACCTTTTGGATCACCAATGATTGCATCAATTGGGTGCTTCTGTGGTATTCTGGAACCATATCTTCTAACTTCTACATCAGATTCAGTTTCAGCAGGTTGTTGATTTCAGCAAGTTGTTGATTTGTTGTTGTTATATTAGTGGAACACTCAGGTTCTGACCAATCTGTTCTAATAAAACTTTCAGTAGCATCATCAGCAGCTGTCTGTGGTTGATCATTCTGATTTTGGGGAGGATTTTGAACCTCAGGAGGACTACTAATCACTGGATTTGGAGCATCGTCATCATCATCTAGTTGAATATATTTTTTCTCTGAAAGAGCATCATCAAACATTACATTGACTGATTCCATCACCTTCTTGGTTCGATTGTTGTAGACTCTATAGGCTCTTGAGTTCAGTGAGTATCCCAGAAATATACCATCATCTGAACAAGCATCAAACTTATGTAGTTGAACCTGATCCTTCATAATGTAGCATCTACACCCAAACGTATGAAAATATGAGACATTTGGCTTCTTTCCACTCCAAATTTCATAAGGTGTTTTCTCTGTGTGTGGTCTGAGATACACATGATTGATCACATAGCAAGCTGTATTAATAGCTTCAGCCCACAAGAACTTTGCAACTCCTTTCGCATGCATGATAGATCTAGCCATTTCTTGTAAAGTTCGATTTTTCCTTTCCACTACTCCGTTCGGCTGTGGAGTTTTTGGAGCAGAATATTCATGTTTGATTCCCAACTTATCATAGAATCCACTAAATTTTTTATTCTCGAACTCTTTCCCATGATCAGTCTGAAGTCTATTAATCTTCACTTTCTTCTAATTCATAAGCCTTGTACTCAACTTCTCAAAAGCATCAAAGGCTTCACCTTTTTCACACAAGAAATCAACCCAATTATATATAGAAAAATCATCAAAACAAACCAGAATATACTTATTACCACCTAGGCTATAAACATCAACGGGACCCATTAAATCCAAATGCAGCAGTTCCAGACAGTTGTTGCTAGTTTGCTGTTCCAACGCTAGATGAGCAACCCTTTTTTGCTTTCCTCTTGCACAATGACCACAAGTAGCCCTAGGCAGCTTTGAAAATTTGGACAGACCTCTGATTGCACCAAGTTTACTGATTCTCATCAAGTTTTGGGGATTGAAATGCCCTAACTTGGTATGCCACAACATTGTTTCATCATCTTTCAAGATCAAAGCTTGCATCTTTGGTTTCTCCAATAAGTAACAATTGTTCTTTGATCGAACACCGATCATCACACACTTTTCATCAGCATCAAATACCTCACATGATTCCCTTGTGAACTTCACATTCAACTTATCATCACATAGTTGACTGATACTTATCAGATTTGTGCTCAGACCTTCAACAAAATACACCTTCGAAAGTCTTGGAATTATTTCTTTTTCAAGAATACCATAGCCACTGATCTTTCCTTTTGCACCATCTTCAAAGATAACATCACCACTTTTGTCCTCAACAAAGTTTTTCAACAGTTTTTTTGGTTTGTCATGTGACAAGAGCATCCACTATCAAAATACCAACGATCAGATCTAGTTGATTCTTGGTTTGACAAGATAACGTTGCACTCCAATTGCTTTTGATTTCCTTTGGCATCCACACCAATCTGACTTTGATATTATGTCTGAGTCCTTCAGTAGGCCACTCAATATTTCTGCCATTCATCACATCCTTCGCCAATCTGAAACATTTTTCAGCTGTATGACCTGGAAGTATGCAATATTTGTAGTCATCTGGACATAATGACAATGGTTTAACATCCTGAGTTCTGCGACCTGTGTTCCAATTCCTGCTTCTGTTCTTTCTGGACTTCTGTTTCTTCACTGGAGCATATTTATTTTCTGGAACTTCAACATCAGTAAGAAGACCACAACGAACAAATGTAGTTGGTTTTCTTTGAGAGGATTCGCAAAAACCAATTCCTTTGTGATCTCCAAAAGGTTTTCCAATCGAAAGAACTTCATCCAATTTCTCTTTTCCTTTTCGAAGTCTGTCATTTTCTTCCTTCAACTTCTGATTTTCAACCTTTAAACCATCTGATTCAGTAGACTTAGCCTCAGTATCATTCTTCAGTTGTTCAATCTCATCATCAAGTTTTTCTTTTTGGTCTTGCAATCGATAAATAGTATTCAATAATTTTTTATATTTCACCAATGATTTCTTTTGTTCAGAAACCATCTCCTCATATGCTTCAATCAACTCATCAGCATCCAATTCTCTTGACTCCTCGGAATTTTCAGAATTTGATTTATCATCATCAACCTTACTGGATTCATCAACACCAGCCATGAAGGCCACAAGTTCATCATTTTCTGAAGTTTCTTCACCTGCAGCAGAGCCTTCCTCATCATTATCACTCCAAATAGCTTGGTAGGCTCTCTTTTCTCTCTTCTTTACAGTTGGACATTCAGATTTAATGTGTCCTACACCACCACATCCATAACAGGTTGGTTCTTGAATTGTATTAGGCTTAGAAGACACTTTGAATTTTTTGTTGAAGCCACCTTCAAATTTTCCTTTTGGCTTGTTGTAACTTGTTGGTTTCTGATCTGAATACTTCTGCTGTGAGCCATATGCATTTCCATCATGATAACCACTTTTATTCGGAAATCTTCCATACTTCAGCTTAGCTAGTCTTTTATCACTAATCATTCGAGAAAGTTTACGACTCAGCAGTGCCATTTCTTCATCAGACTCTATCACCTCCATGTCTTCAGCACTTAATGCTACACTTTTAGGAGTTTCATCTTCAAGATAATTCATTTCATAATTCACCAATGTACCATACAATTCATCTAATGTCATATTTTTCAGCTTTGGTGGTTCATCGAGCATAATCAACTTAGGCCTAAAATTTTTTGTGAGACTTTTAAGCATCTTCCTCACCAGTCTCTTCTCTTCAAAGTGCATTCCAGGAGCTTCTGCTTGATTGAAAACATCCATAAAGCGATTATTGTAAACATCGATTGTTTCGTCTTCATTCATCTTCATTCCTTCGAACAATGTTTCAATAGGATCCAGTTTTGATTCTCGAACTTGTACTGATCCTTTGAATGCATTTTCCAGAATGTCCCATGCTTCCTTAGTAGTCTTGCAATTTGATATCAGCTTCCCTTGAGTTTCATCCACAGCGTTGAAGATCGAAAAAAGGGCTTTTGAATTGGCGATTCCAGCAGCCTTTTCATTTAGAGTCCATTCTCTCTTTGGTTTCTTCACAAGAGTGGTAACACCATTTTCATCTTGGATGGTTTTCATGGGATGAGACCATGCAAACTCAACAGTATCAGAAACATCTTCACCTTGTAACATCAGAAAAACTTCCATTTTGTTATTCCAACTTCGATAGTTTGTTCCATTGAACAATGGAGGTCTCGATGTTAAACGACCTTCCTTGCTCATCTTTAGAACTGTGAAAGGACCTACTCAGTAACTTAGAGAACACTGCTCTGATACCAGATGTTGGGAAATAGTGGATCGACAAGTCTGCTTCAAACACCTTAAATAGGGCCAACTTCCCTTGAAGCGCAGTTACCTCACAGTAATAACAGTTCACTGACAGCGATATAAATACTTGAGCAGAAAAGCAATAAATAAGCCAAGTATTTGTTAACCCGGTTCGTTTATAAAAACCTACATCTGGGGGGATCCCAATCCAGGAGATACTTCACTATAATCAATAATAAAATAGTACATAATAACCTTAAACTCACTTAATCCATATCCTCTATAAAGGCTTACCTTGCATTCAATGCACAGGTACTAGAAGTCACAAACGCGTACTGACATCAGCGTATACAACAAGCCTAGAGTAATGCAGCCAACAAGTTGGTTGTCATCTCCTTTGGATCTTCGAGAACTCCTCCCTCCGGCAACTTCTCCGGTGGGTTTTATGTATCAAACACAGGTGAAAATCATGGAGATGAGGAGGGACTCAAATGAGAGCTTCTGCAATAATTTCTCTCTCAAGGATAAGCTCTCAAAATGTACTCTCACTCTAAACCGAGGTTGTCCCATGCTATGTATACAGTAGCCTGATTTGAGGTAAATTAAGCAACAATTAATTTCCTTAGCACAAGAATGGAATAGGGCAGTTCTCAAGATAAATCTGACATTCCTTTGACTATCCCCATTCTATCAAACTTGTCTTGTATGGATCTTTGCACATATGAGACAAAATGGACAAGACAACACAAATAAACAATTGTTGTAGGTGAGAGTCTGCCTGCAGTCTGTATTTGTCTGCAACAGCAAAACGTAACTTGTTGTTTTTGGTATCTGGGAACAACGGCTGTGCAGAATGTCATTTGTCCATATGCCAAAAGTGGAAAGAAGGAGATTTTTCCATTTAACACTAAGGAAAACAAACTGCCTTGCTGCCTCGTACTCCAGCTGCTCGGCTTTCTTCCTTTCGAGGTATCTTCTGAATTGCAGCTGAAGTTGGGTCAGTGGCTTCCAGTTTTTCAGCAACTTGACCAACATCTTCGTTTTCCGTTTCTTTTCTCGCTAATGATATCATTTTTGTTCTAATTGTTGCATTACCGTGACCATATGAGCTTGTTCTTCTCTAAATCTCTTTTCGTATTCATCCTCATCCTCATCGATGAATGTCTTATCCAATTTAGCTGAGGCAGGAGTCCGAACTTCTGCTGGTGCCGTCATTTCTGTTGGTGCCTGGGGCTGCAAGGCATGAGTTCGCCTGCGGATGCCCCCATAGTTGACTCTGTCGCGCGCGGAGACACCTGCAAAGTTCGAAGAGTTCTTATTACTGCCTCGCATCGGTGGCTTCATCGGCAGGTTCAACAGTTGTGGCAGCAGGGACCTCGGCGGCTTTCTCTTTGTAGGATTCTACGGTCACGTCAATGCCACCAATGGTTTCTTTGGTAATCTCAGTCTCCCGATCCTCTTTTGGTTCAACAGCAGTAGGCTCCTCCGCCCCCGACTGGTTAATGGGAGTGAGTTCATTGCCTGATTCTCCAGCAGCAGTTGGCTCATCTGCCCCATGCTGGTCGAAGGAGATAGATTCATCGCTAGTTGGCCTGATTTGGCGAAGTGGCGTCGCTTTGTGTGGTTGTTCTGCTGGTGAGGGTCGCTCGGGCTGGTTGGTGGTCTCTCTTATTGTAATCCCCTTCCTCAGGCGGGAGAGAGGGATTGTATCGTCTTCCTTCTGAACATCAACTGCCTTTCCCTTCCCTTTCTCTTTCCTTGTCAGCGGCCGAGGGGGGCTTGTATTTTTCCTCATGGTCATCTTCATCCTCTGCTTCTTCATAGCTGACTCGGGAGTGGGATCTTCTTTGCGCTTAGTCCTCTTCTCACCAGTGGTTGCCTCCGGGATTTCTCCACTCTTATCACTCCAGGCTTGCTCTTCGCCGAAATGACTCTCCTCAATCTCCTGAGCTAAACAGATAGCTTCTTCTTCTTCATTGGTAGGAGTTTCATCAAAGATCGTTCATTTCAAAGCTGGCTCAGCAGTGGCCTCTTCTGGGTCGCTTCTGCCACTTCTTCCTCTTCCGCGCCTTCCTCAGGCAAGCGGACAATTTCCTCCATAACTACTTTCATCTTCTTTTTCGGCGGGGGAGAGGGGGAGGAGTTGTCTCTTTCGCCTTTCTCTTTCTCTCCTTGGGGATTATGCTAAACCCTTTAGACTCCAACCAGCTTTAATCGGCTTTATTTGCAGTTCCGGGGCTGGAGTGGGCAAATCGACGCTCGCGCGTCTACATAGTTCTGTAATCAGGGTCCCGTGACCCAATGTTCGCTCTATGTTCTTTCGTGTCCAGATGTCTATACAGATCATCGTGCCCATATCAACGTCAGCCTTTTCTTCCAAGATTGAACACAGTGCAAGCAGATATTTAGGTTTGATATCTGTGGTATGAAAGGTAATCATAATCCTGCTCAATGACCATTTGACCCATTCCTTCTTATTGTCGTCCACCGACCTGAACTTCAGATTTCACTTTTCATATTCAGGGACGGTGACGAAATTCCTGTACAGCGACTGCAGCTCAAGTGAGCCGCAGTGCTTCGTAGCGGAACAGCCACCCCATGACCCGGTTGATTTGCTGCACGGAGCAGTCCACCCATTTTCATCGAACATAGATATTCCTAGGACTCTCGGCTTGGCTCATATTAGCATAGAATTCCCCACCAGCAATACATCTACTGGATAATTGAGATTTTGGATCAACTAAGTCAAGCCCCGCTTCTTTATCTAGCCAACGAGTTGGCCTAAGATCTTCTCAAAATTGAATCCTCTCTCATAGAGGATTCCGATGGGCTTCGTCATTTCGTAGGCCGCCGACACTACGAGGTTAACAAAATGAACTGAGTCTTATTGTTCTGAAGCAAGCACTGCATTCGTAGCCTTTGTCGCGTTTTTCCTTGTAATTTTTTTCGCAATAGGCCTTCACTTTTTCTTCTTGAGCTTGGTGAACAATTTCCTTCTCAAGCTCTCTCCGGATAAAATCCTTCAGTTTTTCAAAGTCCAGCCACCAGTCGCTCTCCAGATACCTCTGGTCAGTTTCGTCCGTGTATTCGAATCGGAGGTAATCTTCCGGGAATTCTGGGATGAATTTCCTTCATGTGTGGACTTTAGCTTCCTGAGCTCTTCCAATCTTCAGTCAGCTCCAATATTCTCCTTCTTTTGTAATAAGCTTCCGGTGCGCTGGCTCAACAAATTTAACCCCCGAGCTTGTTGTTATTGCATTCCTTCCATCTGTGGATTGTATCCTCGGAATCCTCTTACAAATTTTTCCCTTAACCTCTTCAAATTCCTTTTTCACAGCCTTCCCCTCACTTGGATCTATGGTGATAGCTTAAAAAATCTAGGGTTTCTAGTGCTTGGCAAAATAGAGCTTGAATCAGAACAACTTTAAACCTGCATTATTAGTTCCAAAATGGAAAAAATCAAGTAACAGGTAAAAATATCCTAATTCTCGCTGATTTGAACCCTATTTCCTCACCTCACAACGAAATAGAACACTCTAGAGAGGGTTTCGTTGTGAAAAAGGGAGAAAAATCACGAACCTAGAAAATGCATAGAAAAATGCAAAATCGATCCATACAAAGCAAGAATATCAGTTATTGTATCTAAATCTAGCAAATAGCAGACTTAGATTCATAGAAAATCAAGTCATAGAAATTTTTCAAAAGTTCAAAGAACTGACAGTTTTGCAAAAATTACTTTATGATTCTGCGGTAATGCGTGCGAAATCGGAAGAAGTAAACTATGAAATCGAGTAAATAGACCAAGACGAACCTAGATCTTATCTCAGATTTAGTTAAAATAGGTTAAAAGATTAAGACATTTTGAATTCGGATACACGGAGAAATGACGGTTTTCTCTAGCTTCTTGAGGAAGTTACTGTAGGGTAAAAGAGTAAATGACTGAAGACTGGGGTATTTATAGGGGAGGGCGCTCGCTTCGCAGAGGAATGCAAGTGGAAGTGCGGTGTTTTAGATATAGTCTATTATTATAAAGGCATAAGGGTGGGTTATATGGGCGGGTGAGCGGTTAAAAAATGATACCTCTACTTATCCTAAGTACGACACACAAGCAATAAGGGAAGCGGTACTGGGTGAGCGATGAAGTAAGCAAAAATAAGGGTGGCTTGGGTAAGGCTCAGTGTAGAAGTTAAAATTTTACCTAACCTATTCTAAGAAAGCGATAACAAAGCATTTAAACTATCTTCTAATAAAGCAATAACCTAACTAGAAAAGCGATAGAGTTTATTCTACTTTAAATGATAAACTAACTAAGAAAACAGGAATAACTACTCTATCAAAGCGATTAAATTTAATTACAAAAGCGATAACACTATCTAAGAAAGCAATAATGAAAGCTGTAAGTTCTAGCTACGAAAGAGATAACAAAAGTAGGTAAATCTTTGGCGAATATAAAGTTAGGCAAATCTGGATATATTTTCTGAGTTAATCATTGAGCCAGATTAATCTCTGCATTGGCCCGCTGCAAAATAGGCCCTTTGATATAAGATTTCAGTCTCGCTCCATTGACTAAGGAAGGAATCGCTTTCCCTGGGGTTATCTACATTACTGATTCTTACAGCTCCACTTGGTAGAACTTGTCTGACTACATACGACCCAGTCCACCGTGATCTCAATTTTCCTGGGAATAAGTGAAGCCTAGTATCATACAATAAAACATTGGATCCCCCAGTGAACTCTTTATTCTTCAACTTCTTGTCGTGATAAAACTTCATCATTTCGTTGTATATTTTTGTGCTTTCATATGCCAGGTAGCGGAACTTGGTTAGATCAAGCTGTCGCTCGGCGCGCTTCTCCTGAGTGGGGAGAAGATCAAATTTCAAATACTTGATAGCCCAATACGCGTAATGCTCGAGTTCCAGAGGTAAATGGAAAGTTTTTCCATAGATCAACCTATACGGAGACATCTAAATTGGCATCTTGAAGGCTATTCTGTAAGCCAACATCGCATCATCCAATTTATTTGTCCAGTTCTTGCGACTCTTATTAACTGTGGGCTGGAGGATATGTTTGATTTCTCTGTTGGAAACCTCCACCTTACCGCTTGCTTGCGAGTGATAGGGAATAGTTAGATGCTGGCAAACATCATACTGCTGAAGGCAAGATTGCAGTGCCTTATTAACAAAATGGGTGCTTTCATCGCTTATAATAGTCTTGTGAACCCCGAATCTTGGAAATATATTGTATTCCCCACATATCGAAGATATCCACAAACAAGATTCCAGTCTGAGGCATCTCATCTCGCTTCGAGATAGAGCCTAAGCTTTGGCAATTGTCACAAGCCTTGGCAAAGCCATCTACATCCTTCTGAGGGTAAGCCAAAAGAAGTCTGGCTGAAAAACTTTGGCCGTTGTGCGCTAGCCAGCTAAATGCCCTCCTACATGAGAACCGTGACATTCATCCAAGATCAGCGGGACCTCTGATTCCGCTACACTGTGACGGATAATCCCATCAAAGCCGATATTGAACAAATAAGGTTCGTCCTAGAAGTAATCCTTTGCCAAATTAAGTAGACGTTTCTTCTTTCTTTGAACAGTGTGAGAGGGAAATTGTCCTGTAGCCAAGAATTTTGCTAAATTTGCAAACCATGGCTCCTTACCATGAACAAGGAACAATTTCTCCGATTGTCTTAATCTACTTAAATGATCAGCGACATAATTCTCTTTCCCCTTGCGATCCTTGATGTCTATGTCAAATTCTTGAAGCAGAAGAACCCATATGATCAAGCAGGCCTTTGTTTCCCTCTTCTTCATCAAAATTTTTATGGCTGCATGGTCTGTATGAACAATGGTCATGCTTCCGATTAGATATTGTCTAAACTTCTCAAAAGCGAAGATAATAGCTAGCAATTCTTTCTCGGTCATAGTGTAATTCCTTTGAGTAGAATCCAGCGTCCTATTGGCATAATATATGACATTCAGCTTGGATTCAACCTTCTGTCCCAGCACAACGCCGACGGCATAATCGCACAGCCATCTAGGAAACAGTAGTATTCGTGACCTGCGAGCTTCTCAAGGCATTGATCAAGGAACGGCAGTGGGAAATGATCTTTCTTCGTCACTGCATTTAATCTTCTGTAGTCGATACAGACTCTCCATCCAGTGACAGGTCTTGTCCTGAAGACCTCCCTTTTGTCGCTTGTTTGGTCGACAAAGCCT